GGTTTAAATGATTTTATTTTCAAATGTTAAATATCCATCTAAAGTTTATTTTTTAACTAAATTGCTAGAATTTTAAATAAGAATTGCATAGAAATATAATTCAAATAATAAAATTATCTTAAAGTAATTTTACAATATGTTATCAAATTATTAATTTAAATATTATTATAATTTAGCGCTTATTTTGCATATTAATACTATTTTATTTTATAAATCTTTTTTATTTAAATATTTAATAATTCTTAGTAGCTATAGTATTTTTATTTTTATTTGTAATATAATATTTTACCATAATTAGAAAACAATTTATAAAATTTAAGAATATTCTTGTTAAATTATACAAATTATACATTGTGTTATGTTTTGATTTTTGATTGTTTAGTACGTACGCTATTACAATATTATAAATTAATATTTAAATTTTATCATAGAATAAATAAGTATTCGTGTGTTTATACTTAACTTATGACAACCTATGATCATTTCTAACCGTCATATTATATTAAGGCTAAAAATATTCTTAAACATTTTATTTAATAAAAGATTAGATTTTAATTGTTTTTTAAGTTGACAATATTTAAGATTTTACTTTTATATGGTTGTGGTGCATATTTATAAAAAAGTAAGTGCAAATTTGTCACAAATGTTATTATATAAATTAGGAAATATAAATATGATAACAATGAGCCTTGACTTGGACTGCATTTCCCGTTTAGTATGATTTAGTGAATGTATTTCAAAATGAAGTTGATGTCTCTTGTGAGCCAACATTTCATTTATAAAATCAAAATATTGTCTTCTTTTCATTCATTCTACTCTTACTATAAGGCAATTGAAAACAAATCATTGTTTTCTATGAATTCATAAAATAAAAGCTTTTTAACACAATTTTTAAAGAAGTTGTGTCGTATTTAATAGACTTTGGATTTAAGAGAAATGTAATCAATATTTCTTAACGATATAAAGAAGAGTAAATCGAAGACGAGATCAATAAATCTGAACCATTAAAATGTCTATAAATATAATTTTGAAAATCTTTAGAAGGGACAGACATGTAGTGGGAATGGAGTGGAAGTGAAATTTTAATGTCTTTACAATTGTTGAGAAGTGCCCACATCTACAAAACCAGTCATGCGATACATCTCTAAATTCAATTCATTATAAATCGGTTGATATTCTGTGAAAAATATATAATTATTAATTTTCACTATTTTTATAGCAATCTTTTAATCTGATATTTTTGTACAAAATAATTCATCTATTTTAACACCCATAATACTATAATTACTCTAATATATAATTAAAATCATTTTTGGTGCTTTACATTTTGCAATGATTTATTGTCGTTGTATGAATAACTTATAATTATATTATTTATATTAATATTATAGCACTATATTAGATTGATTTTGCTTAAATACTTTAACTATAGTTCTCGGAAACTTTAAAATTTATAAAAAGACAACTAAATACTACCATATAATTTACTATTTATATAATAATAATAATACTAAAACTTATTGTCATGGTAAAATTTATTGATTTTGTTAATTTTTATAAACTTATATCGATAGGACTATTATCAAGGCTCGAGGTCTATGGCATCCAAATCTAAATGGAAAAACTTTTGCTGTGTTTCGTGTCGATTCAAAACATCATTTGATGTCTTTATTATCGATGTTAGGTCCCAGTCCTGACTGGATAGTAGGTGTCAGTGCACTGGAACTCTGTCTTAAGAACTGTTCGTGGATTACAGAAAAAGTTATGAATTTATATTTATGGGACGCGGGAACAGACTCTGGTGTGACATATTTAGCGCCTAATTTCCCAACTGTTCCTCAGGAGAGGATTAGAAGAATCACATCGACTAATCCCAATCACGCGGAGTCACCCTTTTATGACTCTACCGGCGCCCGTATGAAACCCATCGCTAAGCTAACGGTTTCGCGACAAAGGATTTATGAGAAGGCGTGCGGAGACGACCCAAACAAGTTGTCACCCGTTTGTGTCGGATTTGACTGCGAGGAGACTGAAGACGACATCAGACGTGAGTCCAAACAATATTGCATTCAATTCATTATATTTACAGCATTTGATGAATATTTTTACTGAAAACATACTTAATATCTGAAATAAAACTCAATTTAAAAGTATTTTTGTTGAATATGCTTTCATTATAAGGAACCCCATCTCCAGGTATTGAATTTGCAAATAATTCAATAACTGTATAATTGATAGAAATAATAGATTAGTTAACAATAATGAGATGATATAAAACTGAATGTAATGATTGGTATGCATTGATGTGTAGCGGACTGTCAGGTGACTGAATGGACAGAATTCACTCCATGTTCTGCGAGTTGTGGTCACGGAATCCGAATGAGGACTCGAAACTACAAACACGAGGCAATCGCCCGACAAATGAGTTGTTTGACTAAATTGATTGAAAAGGAAAGCTGTGAAGTCAAGTGCGTGAATGACGTGAGTTGTGCCACAACCTCGTGGTCTGAATGGCAGGAATGCAGTGCCGTTTGTGGCAAAGGCTTTCGCACCCGAACCCGAAAGTTCATGAACCGAATGGCACGCAAAGTGTGCAATCAGGTGGAGCTGATCGAGAAGGAGATCTGTATGGGACCACTGCCTCAGTGTCAGGACCAGGAGGAAATTGACCCCAAATGCAGTGTCACCCAATGGTCAGAGTGGACGCCCTGTACGGTCACGTGTGGCAAAGGAGTCAAAATAAGGACTCGTCTTTTCATGAGTCCGCGACAGTCTTCCAATATCTGTACCATTGATTTGATCCAAAAGGCCCCCTGTGTTGCGGATAAGATTGACTGCAAAGTCGACTTAAGTGAGGCTAAAGGTATGGCTTGTAATGAATGATAGTGTGATTTTAATAAATATGATACTTTTCCATATAAATAGAGATCTGTATGCAAAACAAAGAGGTGGGTCCCTGTCGGGGCTATTTTCCCAGATATTACTACGATGTGAGTAAAGGGATGTGCTATCAGTTCATATACGGTGGCTGTCGGGGCAATAAAAATAACTTTGAGAGATATCCAGACTGTAAGCGTATGTGCGAAGACATGCTTAAGAGTAAGTGGTATTGATTTGTATATCTATTAGTCTAAACATTACGTTAGACCTTAAGACTCTCAGAGACTAAAATGACTAAAATTGCTTAATGCCTATCGTATGCCTTGATTTGATTGATGCTTTGCTGTGATGTGATGGCCAGACTTCGTTCAGGCATCTCTGCCCCCGTCTACCATTGCCTATGCAAATGCTATGAAAGACGCAACCGTTCATCTCGAGAAAGGCCTCGTATGCGGTACTGACGAAAACCTTTTGCACATTCATTGCCCACTTCTATGTCAATTCAGTTATTACTTACCTTTACTTTAATGTGTTGTTGAGATATTCAATGATTTCTTTATTTTATAAATAAACACTAATTCATTATACGCACAAATATTATGCAAGTCCGACACATTGGCATAGTTTGTCATATATTTGGCAGAAAATTGAATTTTTTAGTATAAACCCTAAAGTTTCAAACTATTCATATCTTTATTTCATAAATAGTATCCAAGGATTGCATCTTTAAAATAAATGTTGTGTCTCTAATGATTGCCTAAAACTCAAACAAATATGCAAAAATAGTTTTGATCCATTATATGCTTCATTTCCAAGATAATGACTAATGTCTTCTTTATATAACAAGACTTTATTGTGACAATTGAAGGGGTGTATGGTTTCCATGTTTATAATGTATTTTATATATTAAATTGACTGAACCTAACCACTATTCTGAAATGCCTGTTCCCTCCGGATGTCTGATTTAATAGTTTTAATAATAGTTTATTGAATGCATAATACTTTTATGAAATAATTTATACGATTCGTTCGCAGCCCCTATCGGTGCCTTGACTTCATTAACACCGGGCAACTCTAATACGGCCACCTCTCCTCCAATAAATGACCAAGGTCCTATCATCGATTGTGTGGTGAGTATAGAAATGTGTGTATTATATGGTATGATATAGTGGTGAATATGTATTGCATTGACAGTTGACTCCATGGTCTCAATGGACTCCGTGTTCGCGTTCGTGTGGAAGCGCTCGTAAGGAAAGGCGACGCGAAATCAAACTCAACGCACAAAATGGTGGCAAAGGGTGTCCCAAGAGATTAGTTCAACGGAGGAAATGCAAAGATAATCCCGATTGTGGTCAGCATTTGGATAATTATTACTTACAAAGCAGTGCTTTATATCCTTTAACTAATGCCTTCAATGTTTGATTTGTTTCTAAATATAGCGGACTCTAATCCATACATTTACTCCTTTACTAACAAATTATCCGCAAAAAGCACAAAAAAGCATAAACACCATCACCAGCACTACTAATATACCATTTATTCCTTTAATTTAATAATAAAACACAAATCATTATAACCTTCAGACCAATCACCAGTGGAATGTAAAATGGGTTCGTGGGGTGAATGGTCTACCTGTTCAAAGGTTAGCAGTAATTCAATGATATAATGTATGAGTAACTTGTTCATTTGTATCATTTGTCTCATTTGTCTCATTTGTCTCATTTGTCTCATCCAAAGACATGTGACGGACAGGGTTTCCGATTCCGACAAAGAAATATTTTAGTAAATGCTTCCAATGCGGGCATCGCTTGTGGCCCTCAATTTGATCGACAAATCTGCGCTAACTTTAATCCCTGTTATTAAACGTGTCAACAATTCAACTAATAATTGTATTTCATTTAAGTCATGTCTTCAAGTCTTCCTCTACTTATTGTATTATCTAAAACACAACACAATTCACGCCTTAAATGAAGTAATCATTTGGTCTTCTATTGGAAGCAATGGGTTGAGAGAAAGACATTTATTTCTGTTGTAGACTCTATATATTGTGCACTCAAATAGTTGATACTGTATCAAGTCTATTTAATATCACTGTTGCTAGTTGAAATATGATTTCAAGATAGAACTTCATATCTAAAGCCCCAACCCATGCATTCAATTGAATAACAAATTACTTGATAAATAAGAATATGTTAATAATATAAAACAATTGAAATTATTAAACATTTAAACTTTCGATGAATAATAATGGAAAATTATACAATATAATATATTGAATATATAAATACAAATAACTTATAAGATTCATAGAGTCAATGAAATGGTTTAAGCGATATTTTTTGAATGTTTATTCTAATGAAGTACTCTATGAAATAATTGAAAAGTGTATATTATTTGTAACACAGAATCTTATAATAATGAGAATTTAGTCTCACATAAGTATAAAAAAACTTTATAAACTGATAAATATTTAATACATCATTGAATCACTTAATATGTGAGCAATGAGTCGGTTATAAAATGTAAGATTTATGAAAAGCTCGTTTCGCATCAAATAAATTATTATTACTTTGTTTTTATATTTCTTATTTATATTTTATTTTATTTTCAAAATGTTTTTACTATTTTTATGGCTTTTCTGAAAGTGATATTAAAAACTAAAACATTTTTATTGATTAATAGAGAATAAGTGCTTCACAGTAAAGTGGATCCCAAATATCATTACTTCAAAATTGATGTCTTTATCAAAGTTGTGAATATTGTGCTGTATTTTTAGATTTTTGGTTATTAGTAAATATAACGACTAATATTATTGCTAAAACTGTTATATTTTGTCACCAAATTGACAAAATAGCAATTTTGGTAAATTTATAATTTAAACTCTAATTTACAGCTATATGTATACTTTAATAAGTCCTCTAACTATATCCCAACCAAATTGTACACAACTACTACATTACGTTAGTCTCTATGTCTTTCTAGAATCCATATAAAAGTCTATTCAAATGGTTAATAAATTATTGTTTTATTTTAAATAAAGTGATTTGAAAATTAAATGTCAATATATTTGTAAATAAACTAAATTCTATAAATATTTAAGTGATTTGTAAAATATTATGTAAACTTATATACAAAGGACTGATGTTTGCAGTGAAAGCATTCAGAGCAAGATTTTGATGAATTCTTCGTAATTGATCTTGCCATCTTTGTCGATGTCTGTGGCACTCAATAATTGGTCCAAATCTCTGTCAGTAATGGTTTCACCCATTAATTGCATCGCAGACTTCAATTCATCTTTCGTTATAAATCCTAACAAAGAAATTGAGTTTTTATTTAAATTGACGTCTTTTTTAATACGAGAAGTATGAACAAATCAAATGTATTCACCGTTTTTATCGATATCAAACACGGCAAAGGCGGCATGTAGGTCCTCTTCGACATCAGTGTCTTTATGTGTCTTGATTTTTGATAACCAATTCATAAAATCTGATTCAGTGATCAACCCGTCACCTAATAAACAGTTTATTCACATCTCAATCAAATTCTCATATATACTGTAATTCTTATTCAATTTCTATTTTTAAGTTCAATCATTACATAATTATTCTATTCAATTATTATGTATTTGGATTTTGTTTATTGATATTTATATAAATTCTTATAAAAACATAATATGATTTAATATATTATATTTTTATATGATTTATTATCAATTAAATCATTAACAATATTGAAAATTAAACAAATATGGGTTTTATATAGAATTGATATATGCCTTCAAATACTAAAATTAGATAATAAATGGTTAGCACTTAACATAAGACATACCACTTTTGGAGGCCTCACTGAGCAGTTGTTTAACGATATGGTCACCAACAGAGATGCCGAGTCTATTGAGCATAGATTTCATCTCTTCTTCATTCACTCTCCCGTCATGATTGGTGTCAAACATTTCAAATGCAGTTTTCAGTTGTGTTTCATCGATTGGCTTCAGTTTTGTTGTCTTATTACTCGATTTAGAGCTCTGACTCTTTGAAGTCTATTGTCATTACCATTCAATCAATGAGACAATTAAAACATTTATTAATTTTATAAACTTATAGTATGATTATTATAGTATTTTTGACAAACCGTTGCTTTTTTGCTCATTTTAATGAAAATATTCAAACTAAATCAAATATGCGTAGAGGTATACCACAGAATAAATACTATATTTCACTATTCAAATGTCTTCACATTTATTTAAGATGTATTTTCATTTCGTATCTCATATTATTCAATCCAAATCGTATAAATCCAATGTATATTTATATTATTTAACTAAACAGTAATCTATTATTAAGTAATTATTGTTTACAGGAATTGACAGAAAGCAATGCATTTCTACAGAATATTCTGAAATGATTTTATTTAACACTACAAAAGAAGCACAAATTTTTGCAAAAATAAAATAAAGAATAATAATTGGAATTTAGTTTAAGTTTTATAAATAGCTTTCATAATAACAGTTGAGTTGAGATCCGCGCACTCGGAGTCTCGCTTTTGCCACTTGTGTTACAAATAAGTTGAGACTAAATCAAATCATTTGCTCTTTTCATCTCTTACTTTATCTTTACATCAATGTCTCCTCTATTTTTCTAAGTCTCTCTCTCTCTCTCTCTCTCTCTCTCTCTACTTTTTTACTTTACTAAAAACAAAAGCTTAAAAACATTTTTAATAAACATTTTTAATTACTTTGTTGATAATTACCAAAGCATAATTAAATTGAGTTTGAATATTAAAGACCATAAATATATTCTAAAAATAAGGTGTTTATGAAAATTATATCAGAACTAAATGTTTGCAAAATATTTTTTAAAGTCACTTTTAATCACTTTAAAGTAACTAAAGTATACAAAAGTCTGGTATTTTATGTGACATGTCTAATGGAAAATAAATTTAAACAATAAATTTTATTGTTACTATGCATTAGACATGATTTAATATGAAAACTCTAGGTTTAAATTTTGTTTAATTGACACCAGTTTTGCTTAAATGCAAACCATTTGAGGCATTAGTTTACGAAATGCCAACAATTTCTTCATTCTTCCCTTAATTTGGTTGATATGAAAGCGTTGCCTAACTTTGGCCCAAAGCCAGGCATTCAAAGATGTAAACCTCACTTAAGCTGAAGATATGAACATAACTTTGAAAAGCGTTTCATTTTTACAATTATTTGGTTTATAAGTGTTGGGCCGACAGATGGGAAAGTGATGCCTAATGTTGTCTTTCTTAATAATAGCTGTCATTAGAAGTGATAGAAGTTTTCAAATGACAACATTTGCAGACAATTCGCAAGACAATCTTCAGTTGTCCACCGCTGAACACATCATTACAATGCTTAGTACCGGTGGACACACCTATGTCTTAGACAATCACTTTTCAGACATACCATAACAATATGTGCCATCCATTCATACAATTAATTAGCAAATCGTTAATAAGTTAAGAGTTAAGTAACAATTATGGATCAATTCAAAGATTATGTCAACTGTTATGAAAGCAATGTTCAGTTTGTGTCCAATTGTATCTCATATTGAATACTAAGCCTAAGTGTTCATGCAATGGCTGTATGGATGTGTGGATCAGTTGTCAATCACTTGTGACGATGCCTTCAATGCAATGATGGTCTAAATGGTGAACATATAGTCCGGTCTAAAGTTGCTATCAGTTTGTGGCGAAAGCTTTATCCGTATTAAAGCGTGGGTTCAATGAACGCAAACAGAGTTCCAGTCATTCACGTCACACAACATGTAATAACGTATTGTCTATAAAGTGGGCATTCATTGCATGTTTGGTGAGACGTGTAATAAGCACTCAATGAACACATGGATTACCATATAGTGAATAGACATGCAAATGATGCGATTCACGTGTTTTATGCAATACATTTGGACATGAGATGTGATGAATAAGTGGATGTGATGAGAGTGGCAGTGAAGGGGTGTGTGTTAGTGAGCACATCATAGATGGACAGACATGTAGTGTGTTGTGGCTGTTGTGCACATTTGCCACATCACACACTCAAACACTCAACTCGTTTGCCGTACGAGTGTTGTGTCGGTCGAGTCCAGTCATTGGCACTCATTTGTTGCCAACTCATGGCATTAGTGAAGGCATTTCGTCAACAAATGGCATCAATTGATAACAAGTTTTCATTAATAATTTAAAGCATTTTTGAAAAGCATTTAATTTTGTCTACAAAACGATAACATATTTTACATGAGTTTACGCCAAACTTATATTGAAAATCAAATCTAATTTAATATATATATTGTTTTTAGTATACATTTACTTATCGTTTGTCTCTCTTATAGACTATTTTTTCAGCTATATTTGTGGCAAACATTTACAAATCCATAGTTTATATTAAATTAAAGTTTATTTACAATAAAAGTATTGAAAATATATTTTTCTATCGATATCACCATTAAGTTATGTCTAACCCATTGAATGCAACCAATTCCTCGCCGGTTATGCAAAGAGCTATCGTTAAACTGGTATTCAATTCATTCATCAATGTCTTGTCATATGTTTATTAAATATGTGTCCCAACGACAGGTGCTTTCGGGTGATTCCCTGATCATCAGAGGTCAGCCCAAAGGAGGTCCACCGCCCGAGAAGCAGATCAACTTAGGTATGGGTTTGAGATAATGCTTAAGACATTGTGGTTAACACTGGTATGTCTTGACACGTATAGCCTATTTGATTGCACCAAAAGTGGGCCGAAAACTACCGGACGGGTCGACCACTAGTGATGAGTCGCACGGATGGGAGTCCCGCGAGTTCTTGAGGACCAAACTGGTGGGCAAAGAGATACAGTTCCGCACGGAATATAAGATCTCAATGGGTATGGGTTTGCCATTGTTTGCAGTGATTGTATGGATGACTGACTCGTGACTTATGTCCACCACAGGGAACACTCCTCGAGAGTTCGGTTTCCTCTTTCTGGGCGATGAGAACATCAACGATACGGTTGTGTCGGAAGGGATGGCAGAAGTGGTGCGCAGACAACAAAACAAAGACAACGCCGAAGTGTTGCGTCTCATAGAACTGGAAGAGTCGGCAAAAGCGGCCCAAAAGGGAAAGTGGGATAACGTGTCGACCAAACGGGAAGTGCTGTACGACGTGGAGGAGCCACAGAAGTTGGTGAACAAGACGTTCCCCGGAATCGTAGAACACGTTCGCGACGGCAGTACTCTTCGAGTGGCGCTCACTCTGGAGCCCAAGAAGAGGTACCAAATGATAACATTAATGTTGAGTGGAATCCGTTGCCCACAAACTGGTGAACCCTTTGGAGAAGAGGGCCGTTATTTCACTGAATCACGACTTCTGCAGAAAGACGTGGACATCCGCATCGAGCAGACGAGTGGCGGCGGAAACAGCGCTGCTTTCGTCGGATCCCTTACTGTCGGCGACAAAAATATTGCCGAATATCTGATTAAAGAGGGGTTTGCGAAGTGTTTGGACTGGACTATAGGCCTCACACACGACCCCAAGAAGTTGCGGACTTTGGAAAGAGAGGCCAAGACTAAGAAGTTGAGGATTTGGAAGGACTTCAAGGAAACCGTTAGGACTAACGGTTCTAGTGTTTGGACTGGACTATAGGCCTCACACACGACCCCAAGAAGTTGCGGACTTTGGAAAGAGAGGCCAAGACTAAGAAGTTGAGGATTTGGAAGGACTTCAAGGAAACCGTTAGGACTAACGGTTCCAATGAGAGCTTTGAGGCCAAAGTTCTTGAGATAGTGAACGGCGACGCTCTCGTCGTACAGAACTTATCCAACAATGAGGTGAAGAAAGTGTTCATCGCTTCCATACGTCCGCCGAGACTTGAGGGCCAAAGAGGGGACGACGACAAAGAGAAGCGACAGTTCCGACCCCTGTATGACATCCCGCATATGTTTGAGGCGCGAGAATTCCTTAGGAAGCGACTGATCGGCAAAAAAGTGAGCGTAAAAGTGGATTACATTCAGCCCAAGACCGACAACTTCGCTGAGAAGACCTGTTGTACTGTTATTCTCGACACTAACATCAATATAGGAGAAGCGCTGATCAGCAAAGGGTTGGCCACTGTTGTCAAGTATAGACCGGATGACGACGCGAGGGCCA